TCGACAATGTCAAACTCTGGAGAGCATTCAGGTCTGACACCGATAGGAAAGCACTTCAAGAGAGTCTCAATCAACTTAGCAGCTGGTCTGCTCGTTGGCTCTTAAACATCAACGTTAGTAAGTGTGTGGTCTTAAGACTCCGTACTTGAAGGTCTAATGAGGAGGGCGATTCCTTCCAATACCTCCTCGACGGGCACCCCCTTTCAAATGTGGACGAACAAAAGGACCTTTGTGTTCTAATAGATTCCTCACTTAAACCATCTTCACAGTGTATGAAGGCAACTAAACGCTTGACACAGGTGCTGTTTGAGATTAGGCGGGGATTAGTCAACATTGACAAGGAGGTCTTCAGGAAAACCTACGGAGCGTTTGTTCGGTCCACTTGGAGTATGCCATCCAGGCCTGGCGTCCGTGGTTCAAGAAGGATTATCTACAACTGGAACGAGTGCAGGCGAGGGCAACGAAGATGGTCAAGAATCTTGGTCATCTGCCTTATTGAAGACAGATTGACCAAACTTGATCTATTTCCTCTCAACTATAGGCAACTCCGTGGTGACCTCATACAAACCTACCGAATTGTTAGAGGCCGTGAATGTGCCCTAGAAGTTGACGAATTCTTCGAATTGGCTCGGACGGATCACCTGCGGGGATTGACCTGTTTTTGTATGCCTCCTCCTGAGTTTGTTCTTTTAGTTTATAGGATTCTTCAAATCTTGCGTTTACCAAGTGTGTCGGCTCGCTGTTGTACTTTTTTCGGCGGAGGGTCGCGATGCATAACGTCCTTCATATCCTTCCTGAGAATCCTCCATCGCGGGGAATTTTCCGTGCCAATAATTTAGCCGAACTTCCGTATTCTTGGTTTGCTTGCTGTTTACTTCGTATTCCCACAGAAGAATCGCATGCTCGCTCTTGCCAAGCGGTGCGATTGACCTGAGTTCATTTGCATCAATTGGATTCATCGAAAGCACGAGGTCTACACAGTTCGCTGTTTGTGCCTCTTCGATTCGTGTTGGTAATGCAAAATTTTGGAAGAGATGCAGATTCACCGTTAGCTTTAATAGACTGGAGCTAAAGGAATCGCGCGATCCATTTACTGATAGCTCATCCCAGTCGACCACTGGTATGTCAAAATCTCCAGCTATCAGAGCCTTTTTGTTTTGGACCGGTCCATTCATGAAAAAAAACATGCCCTCATCAACCTCGGAAGATTGATTTGGTGGTCTATGAATGGTCATAGAGGGTGGTTGGCTGCATCACGCGTCTTCAGTTTCAGTTATAGTGCTTCGCAATCATGGGAGAAACAGATTTTGCGTTCTGACGTACTGATGGCCCCCTTCACAAAGACCATTTTTCCTCCTCCTCTTTTAAGTAGCTGGTCCCGACGAAATATTTGGTAGTCACCGAGCATAATTTCGGCCGCCATTATGGCAGACTATAACCAAGCTGGCGATGAAATCCAGTTGTAGGTCAGCTACACCTGTTTTAAGCTCGTCAGTCTTCTGAAGCAAACTCTGTGTGTTCTTATAAAAAAAGGATCCTCACCAGTTTAGATTTCTGATCGATTTGTGGGTCGGGGTAGCCGGAAGTATTTTGCGGATTCTTTTCTTGATTGCCTCAGCGTGCGTCTAATATTTGTTCGATAAACTCAGCTCTATTGACTGTCTCGATAGGAATTACCTCTGGGCGGTGTTGCTTTCGCTGTTCGGTATTCGCAGGTTCCTCTCGTCCGCACTGGATGTCATCTGGAGTTCGGTTTTCATTTCACCCCACTGCTCCCGCTAGCCCAGTGAATGATCCTGCCGAAAAAAATCGTCGGCTGAATGTTCTGTAGTGCGCATCTTCTGTCCAACAGTAACCACACTGGCTCCTCATCTTTGAGAATTAATTTTATCGGTCTACTTTGGCTCGAGTCCTCATTTGTATCCTTTTCTGACCCACTCTAAATGCTTTTAAGACGGGGACTTTTATTTCCTTGTTTTCATTTAGGAGGGGTTTAATATGTTGTCGGAATAATTCCATATCATGCTGTTCTTTGGAATATCCGGTGCATATTCTGGCATGCCTTTTATGACGATGCACTGACTGCGATTAACTAAATGGTATTTTCCTTTATTTTTAGCGAGCGACACTTCTATGCCAATTAATGCTGTCACCAACCTTCGATGCGTAGACAACTGCCGTCGCAGAACTTCTGCACGTCTCTTCGTTTACGAGGGTTTAACGCATATTGGAGACCTCCTTTGGCAACGCGGCACTTGTGGAAATTGCGTGCGGACCTTTCCCTCCCGTACTAAGACACGTACCTATTATGCTCTTCCGAGATGAGGTAGGACGATCTTTTGTTTCGCATGCGGTGTAAATCGCTGTTGGTTTCCTCATCCCGACTTTCTTCTTACACCTTACCCCAAAGATGCACAGTCGTTTTCCCATTAATTTAACTTCTTACTGAAAAAAAATGTTCTCTAGTTTAGCTTTTACCCTTCCTTAGATCAAACTTTCAATGATTTAGCAGCGAATTCACAAATCTGTTTGATAAACCAGGGCTTTCTTTCTTGAGTCTTCAAAGTTACTGTAGCAGTGGATGGCCTCGTTGGTTTTTTGTCTTCCATTTTCGATCAGACAGGTGGCAGCTCACCATTTAACAGCGCACCAAACATTCTACCACGCTACCTAACAAGACCGTGGCCAATTTGGTACACAGGCGCGGTTTTCGAGACAGAATGCGACAGTTCTACTATGTGTGTCCGTCGTGGTTCAGGGACGGCTCCTGGCACGTGAATTACATAATAATGAGAACAGACTTGCGCTGATTCTCCACCCTGTCTCCTTCGTCACCGAAAAAATGTGTCATGCCCGCGTAAAGATGTTGGAAGTGTGAGAGGGCGCTGGTAACTGGTTCGGTGAGAACCGGCCTCTAAGTGTGCCATCAAGCCAACTCGGATCCCATTGGGTGGGAGTTTCATGAAGACCACATTAAAACTGGGTCACTGCAGCCAGATTTTTAGTTCACCAGTTGGACGTTCTGCACAATCCTGACTGGGCATACGTTAAGGGCATACTGCAAAGGCAGAATGCAATCTCTTTTTGGCAGCCTTCCAAGTCACGGCTTGGAGCACACATGCAGCACTGAAGGGACCTAGATAAAGAGTCGAGTAACATAGGTGCAACTTAAATGAGAGAGAATTTTGTTTAAAGTTAGTCAGATTTATTTAGGAGGCAGGGGTTTTTGAGGCGTTATGTCGTTATGCGGTATGGCTGGTGATGTTTTACCGTGTACTTTCATGGAAGGTTAGTGGATAATATGAATGCATGCGTTAAGTTTATGTTTGTGCCCGGTGGACTGGCTCGCTAGTCTGTGTACGACGAATTCGCGAGTGGTCAACTAGGACAATGCATTATATGTGTATGGACGATGGCAAAGTGATCAGGGTAAGTTGGTGACGGCATAGCTGGATGTGTTGTTCATTCTGCTTTTAGAATCGCGTTACTGTAAATGCAAGCGTTGTTGGATGTGCGATATGCGTTTTGCGTGTCTGGTGCAGGGAATTTAGCAGGCTTCAATTGGACTCCTTCTGGTCTAAATATGGCCGATAAAAGTTGTTGGTCATCTATGGAAGAAGAGAAATTGGAGTAGAAGATATAAGAAGAGGAAGAAGAAGAAGAGGAAGAAGAAGAGGGGGGAGGTTAGATATCGGTTTACGAATGGGTATAACAGTAGCTCATCGCAGAAGAAGAATTGAAAGAAATGGAAAAAAATGTTTGGTTTCATCTGGTCGTTGGCTTCCAGTTTTCCGTCTGCAAAACTTAGTAAAGGAATTAGTTCGCGTGTTTTTTTTCCTGAGCGTTTGAACGGCTATCAAAAGCAGTGACTGTTTTCGGAAAGGCAACATAGTTTCCAACGACACCGCAGAACAACTGACATTATTTTTACCGCTCAGCAGCTAATAATAATAAATAAATTTTATATTTTAGGCCCGGAGGTCCCCGTCATTGCAAACTTAGTGCTGTGAAAAAATAAATACAAAGTTGATAAATGC